ATTCCTTTCTCTAGCTCTTTCCTTTCCAGAATTCCCCTACATGTTCTCACTTGCAGAGGTCTCCCTGCCCAGTTCTTTTGGTCAAAAAGCAAACAAAATAATAATAATAAAAAAAGGCAGAGTTTCTCATTGTGTTCTAAATGCCTGCATTGCCACCACCACCCAGACAAAGATGCAAGAAAAAAGTAAAGTAAAGACAAAGATGTATCTACCCTGACAGACATAATAACACTCTTTTTCCTGATTCTTCTTGCTGGTAAGGTGGAAATGTTGACACTCATACCACTACTGCCCCTTACTCCATACCTGGGGCCTGCCTTTGTGGCCAAGTTGCAAAATAAAACAAACATGGAGAAAACTCACACCTATATAGGTCACTTCTTCAAGGTTTTGCTTCTTTCCGTAATCTGCCTGCTTTTGTTTACTTTTTGGAGGCCTCAGGTAATTATTTATTGTTTGTATTTTATCTAGAGATTTTAGTTGTAATGAATAAAAGAGATGGGGCTGAACCTGAGCATGAAGCCTAATCAACAGATTATTCACAAAACTCTCCAATGGAATTCATGATTGATCATCTTGTCATATTAAACTTCTCATAAATAAAAGGCCAGAGTCCAGCTTTTCTACCAAAAACTACTAAAAATAAATTAAGAGTAAATGATAAAAATATGAGTCTCTCAGTGCTATTTCTGAATTTAGTAAGATAGTGACAATGAATAAAACACAAAAGGCAGAAATAACCTATAAAAGCAAAAAATAATTTTCCATAGCTGAGAAAACGAGTATTCTGCACAATCATTACTTATTTTTAATGAATTTAGAAATGTACAATATAAAATATTTTCATTTTTTTGAAGACATTTTCCTTTTTTCTCATAGCTTCAGAACTTTTACAATAAGCTCCCACAGGCCTTCCTACTCTGTCATTTGTCTGAATCAGTCTCATTGCTTTAGTACTTGAAAGCCTTGTGTCATTTACCTGTCTTCCTACTCCTCACAGTACCAAGAATAGCATCTCACAAAGCTGATGACCAGTAAATGCCTGTTCAATAAGTCATGCAGCCGACTGCTGGGGACTAGCTTTATGAACATTGGGGGGCTTTTCTTTCTTTCTGACTATTCTGCCGGTTAGAGGCTCATGTAGACAACAAACATCAGAACAAAAAAAAAAAGAAGCTACATTCTTCTTTACACATCTGAATATAGCATCAGTTAAAACTTGGCAATCTTCTAAAAGCCTTTTAATAACAGCATCAATGTTAACTACGCCATAATTGGTAGGCTCTAGTCTTACATATGCAAGGTTCATAGAGAGTCCTACCACCTTTCACCACCTCCCCACAAGCTGGGAGCTGCTATAAAGATAGCTGAGTTGAAATAGTCAAACTTGTTTGCAGTCTAAATTCTCAAACAACTCACTGTTAGAAACAAACTCACTAGTCCCGAAGGAATTATTAAG